TTAGTATAAATTAATGGGATGCAAAATGCAATGAAAATTCTGAATGGTATGAATGATGCTAAGTTAAAAATAAAGTGCTATAAAATTTGAGGTTGAAAAGAGCGCATTATTAGCACTTTAAAAAAATCGGGAAAAAGTCAGAGCTGCTTGTGTAGTTAATAATTTTGAACCTCTTTAGAAAAAATGTGGATTGCCAAAAAATTAGAATTTGAAATAGTGTAAGATAGATTAGAGAGATTCAAGTACAAAATTTTACATTAACTGGCACATTTATACGGCATCAAGCCCAATTTTTTGCCTGAATATGCGTGATTTCAAAAACTTGCCATGGATGGTTAAAAAGGTTCAAGAACAGATATAACTTGCAGAAAAGTTTGTACTGAGGAAATGTGTATAAACATGAAGGTGGTAAATCTATTTATGAAATAGAACTAGCCTATCATTTTAAAGGATTATGCAGCATTGGGTTATGTATAGTGCAGATGAAACTTTATTTTTTTTTGCCAAGCACACTATACTCACTTCTTAAGCATTAAAGGATCTAAACTGTTAAAGAAATAGGCAATGAAAGAAAGGTTGACTACATTAATGGCTTGAATGAAATGAATTTTGGCTGTTGTGAAGTATGTTTTTATTCCCTTATGAATTGTGCATTGTTTAGTGATGCAGCAAGTAGGTAGTAGAAACAATGAATAAACTTTAACTTCCAGAGATACTGTGACCTAAAGCAAAAGCAGAAGGGTATTAAATTTCCTTGATGCACAAGGAATTTAGGTTATAGTTGTATATAAACTGGAGCAAATTAATTTTCAATTAATGCATGTTAATATGCAGTAAAAGAATGTGGAATTTTTTCATCTACAGTAAGCCATGTGGTCTTTCTTTAAAGGTGCATGTGTAGTAATAAATTATTCTGCTATACATTTTTCAAACACTCCCATATAAGGTGAACTACTTTTGGCATGCACAATTCATTTTTCACTGTCTGTGTTAGTGTAAGTAAAATTTAATCATGTTAAGTTTTCCCCCTTTATTATATGACTTGTTTATGATAAGCATAATGAAATTCTAAGGTTTGTGTAAACTTAGGAGGCAATACATACATTGTACAGTCAAATTTAATTTTCCAGATCTGGTAATAAAAATTCTATTTTTTTTTCATTTGTCTCTGCAACTTATGTAATGCTTCTATTCATTTGTCTCTGACATAGTGTAGTTTATTTAAAAATTAAAAAATGTTTCGATGAAACAAATAATTAAATTAAAATTTTTTGAATTACTGAAATTTAAAAAATTATATAAACATATTTCCTGCCTTATAAGATGCACCAGCGCATGAAATGTACTGTCTTGTGACCTGCGAAGTTAGAATTTATAAAAAATACTTGCATCAGGCAGAAAAGGATCAGGCAGAAAAGTACTTATTTTAATGATTACACTTTATAAAACAAAAATGGAACTGTTACATTATAAAATTGGCAAATATATCAGCTCTTATTCATCATCATAAATTCCCAGAAATTCGTCATCACTGCTCTTAAAACCACATCACTTTGATTCACTCCAAGTCCACTTGGATGCCTGTACCACACCAGGGCCAGCAGTAGGCTTTTCGTCATGCAGCCGTCATGCATGCATTCTGGTATTTCTGAATTCTGCCCCCCCCAGTTTTTTCTATATTCTAAAAGTTTTGCTGCCCTTAAACTCTGCTGCCTGAAGTGACCTCATCAATTGCACCATGCAGTCCTGATGCAGGTCTTAATACACTTTCTGTAATCGTAGTTTCATACCCTCTTCATCCATCCATCCATCTTTTGGAATGAACATGAATATAAATTTCATGTGGAATTTTACATTTAGGCAGCATTTTTCGTTTCAAAATTAACAGAGGGGCAAGTTTTAAACCCATAAACAAGAACAGCAGTCTAGCATGTTTTCTTGTTACCATAAGTCTTTATCATTAGTATATTAGCATCTTTCATATTCACTGTTCTATTTGACAGCATATCATATGTCAAGGGTATTTCATCCATGTTTTCTATTTGTTCTGTCTCAAAACACGTTTTTTTCTCTTTGATATATTTGTGGAATTCTATAATCTTTGTTTAATTTTCAAGTGGCAGTTATTTTGCTTGTTCTGATATGCATACACAGACCATTTCTGCTCATGAGTCTTTTGCACCATGCCGTGATCTTAGAAAAATCATCAATAAACATATCTATCACCGATTTTCTCATTCCAAATAAAATAATTTTTGTTGAAACAGTAATCTGGTTCTTCCTGTGATTTGTTATCCAGTTCTTAAAATGTTCTTCAAGCTTTCTTATTTATGACACAAGTTCTTTTATTAATGACACGCAAGTTCTTTTATTCCTCTCTGCATATGGTAAATCCATCTTCTGCCTCCTCCATTTTCATATCAGCTTCAGATGGACATAGGCCAAAACACTTTTTGGCTGCTCTTGTTTTTGTGTTCTGAAGCATAATTCTTGACTTGCATTGAATGACACTCTCATACCACTTATATTTAACCAATTGTAGACTCCGACTTTATCACAAGAGATATTCTGATTCCAACGAACCAGTCCCGAAATGCTGAAACTTCAAACACAATGTTAACAAACAAATGTTTCACATATTATGCTGATTCTTGTTGCTTTAATGCCTCGTGTAAATAAAAGTGAAATGTGTAGAGATGGCAGCTCCCATGAATTTTTGCTTGAATTTTAAAAGGTAATTATTATAAAGACAGAATATTACCATTTTTAAATGTATGTTAGGCTAAAGTAAGTACAGTGCTGAAAGGTGGAAAAAGTTAGATGGCCCTGAATGCAAAATTGCTTCCATACCACTCACATGATTTGGTACTGTGATTTGCAATAAATCCTGTTATTGGTGCATGATTTTGAGAGCGAAATAGTGCTGTTTGTTTTTATTAATTTATATTTAATGTGCACATTACTAAATCAGAACTTTTTATAATTTTATAAAAACTCATCTGAAAGCAGTTCTGCATTGCCTAGGAAGTGCTACAAAACATACTTTCTAAGCTACTTTCAGCCTCATGGTCCATGGTCTAACATGTGTGATGAAACTAAACTATGTTATGCTACATTGTATAGGTGTATGATTTATTGGGGAAATATTAAAACTCTTTTGCTTTCTGCTGGCTTAGAACAGTGTTTATCGACATTTGTAATAAAGGCAACCATTTTTTATGCCCGATGACTGAAAAAAATATCTAATAGTACTTTTCCTGAGAAATGAGCTTGCACCTCAGAGGACGCAGTTGTACCCTCGGCCCATAAGATGCTGGCTGACTTTAGGGTACATTTTGAAGCAAAAACAAGTGCTTTTTGTGGTTTAGCAAATGCAGTAGATTAAAGCTGTTTTGGTGACTAATTGATTTTGCACGTAAAAATGGTATAAAATGCATTTATGCTTGAAAGTTAACCAGTAGATCATTTCTTGAAAGAGTCTGTGATTGCAATAAGATTTTAGTACTTATAAAAAAAATTAAAAGGTGTAGTTGGTAATTTAGTCCAGGGTTTGAGACCCAGCAAGTGGGCATTTTCATGGTTTCCCTTTGTGTAACATGCATATGAGCCAGTTTCCCTTAAAAGGGCGTTTCACATGGCATCCCTTCCTTTCCATTTAGTGCCTAATGGTAGAGTGCATAAAAAATATATAAATAAAATTTTTAATCCACGGCATAAATATGATAATGGATGAAAAATTGATTCTTATGTAACCTTGGAGTAGTCATGGCAAAAAAACTTTCATAAATGTTTGCCTCTTCCCCAAAATAAAAATACAAGGAAAAAAAAAAATACAACCATTCATGATCATTAATAAAAATAAGCTGAATGACAGATATCATCAGATTATTTTTATTTGTGACCATTTATGAAATCTCTGTTGCTTAGCTGTTTTATAGTTAAGTAACTTTTTGTATTTACGGATGATGTTCTTTAATATATTTTATATTTAGCAAAGAAAGTATAAATTTCTTTAATGTATTGTATAGAATTTCAGATGTAATTAAAGGTATAAATATTTGATCAAGAATGTGAAATCTTAGTTTTTTCATTTTCTCTTTTTAAATTTTTCAAAAATATATCTTAAACTACACTTTTATTGACATTTGGATGGTTATAAGCATTTTTAAGTTTTGAGAAAATTTAATGTTTTTATACTGTATTTTATACTTTATAAGGCTTTCAAGTCACATATAAGTATGTGATGTAGTCAGATACAAGTATGTAGTCTATCTTTTTTTATCAGCTTTCCAATTTATCTGATGTGCGAGTCATATTTACTCTTTTATTTGCATTTCAGAATGCATGGAGGTATATAAAATTTCAAATTTCTTAGCTACAGTGTGTGATTTAGAGTTACCTCCTACTTGTGCATTATAATTTGCTGATTTTTGTGATTTCTCTCATCAGATTCTTCTTTTCTACATACAGTACCTATGTGAGATTTTAAATATCCCTTTCCGTTTCTCCTGTATAGGAAGCTGAATAGAAGTTTGTCTGATGATGAGGACGTAATCTGGGGAGAGGATAGTGTATAATATTCCTATGTTTTTTTTAAAATGTTTTTTGATATAAAGATGCAGGAAGGATTCCTCACCCTTTTATTTTAATTGCAGTTTCATGGCTACTATAGCCAAATATAAAAATGCAGACTACTCGGTTTTAAATGGAATTCAATTTAGGAAACAACTGAAGAACTGAGTTTATTCAGCCGTATTGCATTTGCAAGCTGTGTTTAATTTAGATCAGTTATTTAATTAAATATTTTTTATTAAATTCAGTTATATCTTAATACATTTGTTTAGTTAAGTTATTGAGCTTAATGAGATTTAACACTGTACATGAAATGAAAACTGGCAGATGTTCAGCAATAGAATGAATTTTTTTTTTTTTTTTTTTTTTTTTGTGTGTGTGTGTGTGTATGTGATTATTTAATCGGAAACATATTCTTTCATTTACAGTCATGGCTATTATTGGACTTGCCCTGGTTGCCATATTTTTTAGTCTATTATTATCAGTATTTAGAATGAAAGCACAAGGCTATCCTTACAGGTATGTAATGTTTCTTCCTAAATTCTGATATTTTTAATTAAATGGGTACTTTTCATTTAGAAAAGCAAGTTTAGCCTTGAAAAGGTGTGCCTAATACTTTACAACTATTAAATCAGCTAAAGTACCAAAACATTTGGAATTCTTAGCAAATAACATGTAGCTGCTTCATGCTCCATGAGTTCATCTGTGACTGCTCAGTATAGTACAGAGTGAAGTTTTGGAATCTGCAATGCTATGTCAGTTTGGATATAGTCTGTATTTCAAGAATGTGGCCTTATTGTAAGGTATTTACTAGATTTTGCATTTTCTCATGATTGTTCAATGAGGTTTTTATTCTGAGCACAAAGAGCAGTGGAATATTTGAACATCAATCGAGTGCTCACTCAGCCTACATATGCATGATGATGGAAGTTTGCTTTATCATGGTGGTAAAACATTATCATCATATGTTATAGTCATAAAGAAGTTCAAATGGTTTGCAATGAGATTCATGCATGTCATTGACTCATTGTTTGAAACAATTTGAAAACATGACTTATCTAACTAGACCACATAAAACTGGTTCTGATAATATGTTCCATGGTGCAGGTGAAGCAGATTACCTGGTATCATTCCAGACATATAGTGCCTGTATTTGTAGGTGGGAAGCACAGAGTATGCTGCACGGTGTAGTAATTGATAACTTGGATGAATATCATTTCTGAGCTGGGCTGTGATTTAATGTAATGTTCTACATTTTTGGTGTTAGCTTGCTTTCTGAGGTGCTAGCAGCCCCATTCCTCAACCATTGCTCATCATTTTAATGTACCATGAGTGTTTATTCTGAATGAATGTGCTCTACATTAGTTCTGTATCCCTTTCTGTGGTTTTTGAAGTATTTAATATTCAGAGATGCAGAATGAAATTATTTGCCTGTTTAATAGTTTGTCATGTACAAATCAATAGTTGTCAAATCAGTATTAGAGCAGAACTTCTGTTATATGCAATACATTTGAAAGTTGGCTGCATCCATTCTGTAAAGAGCAGTCAGAATCTTCAGCAGCAAGCTCATACTTTCTGCTTTTGTTCATCAGTTTATCTGTGCACTTTATATAGATAAAGAACCAGAACCTGAGAATAAATTTTGTTTATAAAATTTCATAGCTAATTTATTAAATTGGAAGCAGTAGTTTTAAAATTAGCAAGTTCTGATGTTTATATATTCATACGTTTTATGTACGGTATGTAAATATAACTTACACATGATTATTTAGAAACTTCGAAAATCTTTTGAATATCTGATAGCTTTCCATTTCAGAGATCATACCTAATGACACTTTAGAGGCACAAAAAACTGACGTAAATTATGCAAAGCACTTTGAATGATTTCACTGTGTTATTCCCAGAAGAGACTGATCATACTGCATTGCATAATGGTAATTTGGTTTGTCTTTTTCTCATACGACGAAAAAGCAGGTCACATTGATTGATTATGCTGTAAAGTATTATTTTTGTGTACTTAAAATTAGTTTTGACTAAGAGTGCATATTCAATTTCCATTGTTCCAGCTTGCCATGGAATTGGCAGAGTTAGTCAGTAAAGTAAAAAGTTGAGGGCATTCAATTGGAATTCATATTTGCTTTGAAACCTGCATTTATTTATAACAATTTTTATGTATTCTCAGTTTTTTGTCATCGTATCTGACTGAGAAAGTACACCTTCATAACGAATCAGGAAGAGTTTGCCAAACATTGATATATACAGAGAGAATTCATTTCTAAAGGAATGATTTTATTCCAAGAATGTAATGCATTATTGTGATCAAATATACAATGTAATCTGAAGAAAGTAGAGCCATATCTTGAGCAATACAGGTCACATGACAGATTCAGTCAACATTCAGTTAGTATCCTGAGATATGGATATTTCCACTATTGTTTACAGTTCATGTCCCATTAGAGGTTTAAAGTGGAGCAGGTAAATGAAGATCAGCTATGTCTTCATTTATGCATATTTGGATATGCTTAAATGTTTGTTTCTTCAGTTCATCATTACTAAGTCCTATGCATAGGTGACAAATTTTAGTAAATTGCAATATGATGGTGTAATAAACGAACAGCAGGTATGCCTAAAAAGAAACTCTTAAATCATCAATTTGACTGAATATTCTTTCTGGCATCTCCTTGATCTAACATTTATTTTAACAACAACAAACAGAGCAGCTTAAATAGTTTCTATGAATAGGAGTAAATGAAAAATTTAGCTCGTCTTCTTTTTCATCTTTTATCTTGCTCATCATGTGACATATTTGAATGTTAAATCATTTGCTTTCAGCCAATTATTCCTTTGCAGCTTATGTATGCCACTATATTAAAAAATGGGAATGTTATTTCATATGTAACTCATTAGAGCATTATTAAAGTAACTTCAAATGTTATAGTGTTAATAAATTATTAGTATGAATTCTGATGAGTTTTTTATGTGCTATGTTAATGCAAACTTCTTAACTTCAACTGTGTATAAAACTTAATATAGAGTCAATATATGGAAGTAGATGAAAATTTTGATTATGAATCTGAGCCTATTTGCCCTAATTTTAGTCTGTTATAATGAACTTGATGAAACTTTTATACAAACTAGTATTAATTATTCTTAGGTCAGATTGATATCTTAATTTTCTCATTCTTAATTAGAACAGTTTTGCTAGTATAGACATTTTTGCTAATTTTTATGTTATTCATGTATCAGGTGTTTGTATAAAAATCTTATTTGTTCCTTTATATGCATATATACATTTTTAATGAAATAGATTATTATTTTTACTCTCTTTCTGTATGTATATGGGAGTGCTGAAAGACAAATTATTTACTTGCAATGTGACCATGCAGATGAGCACAGTAGGAACAATAAACTGACTGCTATTAGTGTAGATTACAATCAGAGCTTCAGTGTGTATGGCAAAGAATTTTTCATGGATAAAGGCAGTGACAGCAATCTACAGTGGCTGTTCGCACATTTTTTAGACAATTTTCATTGTATTTGCAGAAATATTGTACCTAAAATTTTTCTGTTTTAAATGTCTCATTTGATACCCCTTATTATTCATTATTTTTCTACTCCGTAATTTTTAAGAAAATAAAGCCCTTCTTAGTACCAAAATAGGTATTTTATCCATTCCTCTTGAACAGCTTTCTGAAGTCCAAGGAGGCTTGTAGTTCAATGTTTGGACAATTTTCTTTTTAAAAGTCCAAAATTCCATGCGTTATACATCAGGAGATTTAGTAGGGTTACATTTTTCTTGTTCCATTTTTTCCAGGAAATTGAGTGGATTTTGAAGTGTAGCTGCTTGCTTTGTCATGATGCAGTTCTCCTGATTGATGGCACTGTGGGTAAAGAGAATGTATTTTATATTTCAAAATTAGATCTAAAATATGTTCCTCATAATATGTGGAGTTGACCTTAACAGTTTTCTGCACTCTCCCTAATTTTTATTTGTCGTTATATCAAAGACCAGCAACAATTATAAATCCCTGTAAAAAAAACTTTCTTTAGATTCTTTGAACCATGTTGTAAGATTTTTTCTTGTCTTTGATGGTAATAAATGGATCTTTTTTTTATTGCAGTCATTTAAATATATTCAAGATTCATCTACTGTAATAACATTTTTCCATTTTTGTTTGAATAATTGTTTCTCACTGAGAATTCTGTAGTGCATTCTGCTTTCGGTTATATGTTGGGGAGAAAGACGATGCACATTACATTTTTCGCCATTTTAAGATTCAAATCAGTAGTAATCTCTTTGTTTACAGTTGACACTGAGCATTTTAATGATTATGCAACTTTACTTTTGACTTTGCAGATTGTCTTCTAACATTAAAGTTCTTAACTGTGCAACATTTGAAACATTCCGTTTTCCCTTTGACTATGTAATTTGAACAGTTTTTCTTCTTGAATCCAAAATCTGACATTTTTTCCTTTTTTTCCTTGATAATATTATCTATTGTTGCATTAGATACGGAAAAATGCCTTTCACAGCACTTCTTAATAACTAAATACAAATAATTTTCTTCGGAAAGGGCACATAGCCTTCCGTCTATTGCTTCTTTAAAAGTGCCATCTGTCATGAAAAACAAAAATTGTCAGGTAACAGATGTTAATTTACACTTTCAAAAATATAGTTGCAGTTAAAAATTTCCAAGCAGGCGATTTTTTCTAATGGCAAAGTCGTCTAAAAAATGTGCATACAGCCTCTGTAATTTGGTTTCATTGCGGACCATTAGTCATTTGCAAGGCCATATGTTCACTATCAGCAACTGTCAAACTGCTGGACACTACCATGGCACAGATATTCCAGCAATACATCAAAAGTGGAAAATCCTGTGTAAGTCATGAAAAATATGGCCATGAAAACCAATGATTGATGCATTCAACAACTTCATATAACAGGTAGACGGCTCATTCCAGAGGGAATTCATCTGCTAGCTGAACCCCAACATAAACCACATGATTTATGGTCGTGGTACTCTTGGGGAGTAATAGCTTAGGCTGTGCAGTCAGCAGATAATGATCTCAAATTAAATTATTCGATTTTTCACAATTACTTTTAGATATAACTTAATACTTTTTTCCTGAATATTTTATCTATATTTTTAATAATGGCTTTAAATTATTTGCACTGTTGTTTAGGTTAAATAATTCGAGGAAGAAAATCTAAGCTTAATAAAAAATTGAGATGGAAACTTTATTTTTTGAATATAATCTAAAAATTATAGTAAAAATTAATTGCAATACTGCTATAATATTTGAGGGGGTAAAAAATCTCGTTTATTTTTAATGCATTGCATTCTAAAGAGAAAATCACATTGTAATATATGTACTTATGCAATTGATGAAATACATACTTACAAACTGTTGACTTTCAGCTGGAACCATGAACTATTACTGCCCAAACGTATAATATAGTTTATGGTACAAGAAGATAAATTATATTGAAATCTTATTATAGAAAATATTTTACTTACTTATATTTTACTAGACATAATTTTACTTAAAGTCAGAAATAGTTTTTGGAAGAATTTATTTCTGACCTTTCAGTGTTACCAATAGTACTTGCACTCTGGCAATGTACGATAGTAAAGAATTTATTTTTTTATAGATCATTCACTGATTGCAAATGCCCATTTTATTCAGTTACTTGCATATTAAAGTGCTTATAAAATTAGCAATGACCAGAAAATAATTTCATGCAAACTTGAAAGCTACTGCCTTAACTGTATGCTGCTATACATTAGATTTAGTAAGATTTCATATTTTTCAGATCAGTAAAATGTACATTTCGAAAATAAAAATTTCTTTTTGAATTAAGACATTCTGCATCCATACTTGTATAAGTCAATGATGGTAGTCTGTTTGGAGCATCTTTAAGTGGTCCTGAATGAGTCCTCTCTATCATACTACATGGAACTGTTATGAGTTTGGGCTGTTGTTGAACTCATGGTTATAATCTTCCTCTTCATGCTGTTATTCCCACATAAGGATGCTCTCTTTCAAATGGATAATAAGTATTATATCATGGATAATAAGTAAATGGATAATAAGTACTGGTCACAGGTTACACAGGAGTGGTTCAGTGACCATTACAGTAAAGGTCTGGAACTCTCACCTGGACAACCAGGTGCCCAGATATCTGTGGAATGAGCATCAGCGGTCTCTTCAGTCTGTAGACTTACTAACATGCTACATGATGGATTTAAGGTAGAAATTAATGAATTGCTGGGCAACAGTACTACCATCTCGCTGAAACCATCTGCTGAGCATCTTGAATCATTTCAGTATATGTGCGTGTGTTTATTTTGATTAGTTTTTTTCAGTATGGATTTTGATCACTTTCTGCCTGACTCAAAATTTTCATTGTATTTTTCTTTTCAGTTTTCTTATCAAGTAATATGGTTATGAGAAGAGCAGGTCTTAAATATTTTTATGAATGTGATGCAAGATGTGTAATTACCATTTCTGAAGAAGCACTAATGACTGAACAAATGAAAGGGAAATCCTAACATGCCTTATACTATGTGAATAGCATTTGTTGGTTACATTTTTTATGTAATTAAAAGTTATTTATACATAGCATGCGTTTAGAAATGTATCTTTTGAAAATAGTCATACATTGTGTATGACATATAACTGTTTAATTAATAAAATCTATGTTTTTGTACAGATATTCATAAATATTCTTATTTTATGTATAGAATGGATAAAATTTATGTAAAATTGACCTACCACTGTATCAGAAAATTATTTTATTAAACATTAATATAACAAATAAAAATGAAATTTACATACTGCACTGTTTTTTTATATTCGTGTATCTAAAGAAATGATTATTTCTGAAAACAACCCCATCCTGTGGTACAGGCATAACTCAAGATATTGCAGGTTTTATTCTCTGCAGTAAGTGAATATTGCAAGTTTCATTTGCCAGAAAAAAAAAAAAAAAATGAACAATTGCAGTAAAGTGAGACAGGACTGTATATATAAAGTTCTTTTTGCATTGAGCAGAGTGTAATCCAGGCAGCTATATGCTACTTCATTTCCTTAACATTTGCATAGTTACTGGAGTAGCATTTTTAATTTCCTTTAAAAACTGATTGATTGATGCTAGAAGCTCTAAAATTAATCTTTTATAACTTTTGATGTAAAAATGAAAATATGAGATTTCCATTCAATTTAATATTCTGAGGCACTTTAAGAAATATTATTAGCTTTAATTTCAACTTAATAAAAAAAACCAGAAATGTATGAAATTTTATGAGAGTGTAAAATGAAGTTCATGAGGAGGTGACCAGTTTTAACAATAGAAAAAATTAAGTAATTACCTTTTGAAGACTTAAAATAGACAACATTAGTTACTGAACACTTTAAGACAATCGTATGATAATTGAAATAATTTTAATGAATAATGATGAGAAAGCTTGGAATATCGTAAAAATTACCAGAATGTGCGGAGAAAAGAAACGAGCAAATATGATAAGTAACATGGTACATTGTGGTGGCTAAATACAGGGTTGCCAGAAGCCTTTGATTCATAATAAATATATAGTATTTTCAAAATTTAATAAAGTGTGTATATATATTGTACATAATTTCATGACTTTTTATTTTTTCATATATCAAGTTATGTAAAAAGTAGATGTTTATTTTACAGCACGATTATTCACAGATTATTTCAATAAGTCAGAAGATTTATTTTTAAATTTTTCATATATTGTATGTGCTACCTTTAAAAAGGCTTCTTGAATTAGTTCACTATTTTCATAAGCTATCTTCTTTTACGTATCATCTGAGAAGTGCATCAAGGGTCAGTTTTAATTTTTTTCTGCATTTTTTTTTTGTGAAAATAAAGTGGCTTAAATGATTATTTGTTTCTCTAGACTTTTCTTTATAATTTAAGAGTAATATTTTTCAGGCAAATAGTTTTGTAATGCCTTTTACATTTGCATTTCACAACAGCTATTCTAGAATTACGTGGTGTTTTTCCCATTTAGAGTTATAGTTTTTTAAAATTGTTTATGCTAGTGTAAAATAAATAATTACATGTTAGTTAAGTTTTAGTGCAAGTACATTTATAGAAATCACCAAATTTTGAATATGCAGCAAATTATCACAACTGCTAACATACATAACAATTCATCAGTTTTTAACAAGCAATATGCAATTTTTGTATACGCCATTTTTTTTTTGTTGTATTCGAAATTCCAATGATTTTCATAGACTACGTGCAATTCCCCCCCTTACTCTCAGTTTAATACATGCAATTGTGGGATTTGCCTGCAACAGAAGAAAATGTAACATTTTTGCACTAATACAGTATTTTGCCACAGAAACAGTAAAAGGAACATTTGCTTTGAATCTGTTCTTAAAGCGATCACCATGAAGTTTCCACCATAACAAAAGAAATAGAAATGCATATTTAAGTAGGTTGATTTATAGACTTTTGAAATAAATACCTAAGTAAAACAAAAATGCATATTACAATACATATGTATGTAATAACTATTTTTGGCTGTTGTAAGTCGGCATTTGATTTCTGTAAAATATCGCCAATGTGCACCAAAGTGGTTTCTCTAACATGTAGGTACAAATTACTTTCTACAGAACAACAGCCATCTGTGTAAATGCCAATAACTCACATTCAACTGTGTAAATGCCAATAACATACTTCAGTGCTACCAACTGCATAAAAGTTTTATCCACATTTTTCTACATTTAGTTAGAAATTATGATCTGAATCTGTTATTAAGATTTTTAATACTTTTCACTTAAACTACTGAATGGGTGCTGCAACTTGGAAGAGATTTTTTAATGTAGGCAAATCTTTATTGTAATTAATTAACCAACCAGTTAACTGTATTTCATTCTTTAAGTTTGCTGATAATTTTTTCATATGACACATCATTGAAATGTTAAACTGGGTAGGTATATATAGCATGTTGTTTCAGTGCAGTTTATAAAATGTTTTGTAGTTCAGATGCAACGTCAAGTAAAGGCTAATTTAGAAGTTTTGGTGAAGTAAAATTTTTTATGTGTCATCTTTAATAAAAATGGAGACTTTTACCTTTTTAAATGGACTTTATAAGAAGAATGTTGCTGTTAATAAATTCTTTATCATGATTCTATGCTAAGGATGTATAATTATACATTCGTTTTTTTAAAAAATTTATACTTCAGAGCTTTGTGAAGTCTGAAGAAAGAATTTATTCCAAGTGTTCTTTGTTTCATTTTATTTTTTTGATGGCACCTTATTTATCAGTTGGTGAAAATTTGTTCCCGATTAAGAAAACCTTTTTATTTATTGGTATCTGTTTTTTCCCTTACACAGTTAAAAAAGTTTTTTTTTTTTTTTTTTTTTTTTTTTTAATACGTCTGATAAATTTGCCCGTATTTTCTGTAACAAATGTATGCAGCAGTTTTAAGGTGGAATTTTAGCGAGTAGAAGCATTTGCATGTATTGATTTGTTTTATGCCTGCCATTTGTGCTAAATTCTTATTTTATTATAACTCTAAAAAAATTTTGAATGTAACAGCTTTTTCTGTGTGACGAGGCCATAACCTTTGTAACTTGGTGACATATATATGACATATATATTTACTTGTTTGCAACATTATTAAATTAGATCTCACTCTGCCTGATGCATAAGCAAGTAATTTTTTTCCCTGATAATTCAAATGATTCTATGATAATTCAAATTGTTTTTATCATTTAGATTATATGTATCACTAGATGGGCATTTCTGAACTATTATATAGTACAGGTTAGGCTAGTTTCTGAATTTCTGCCTCAGGTTCTTTGTGTTACTTATACATTAATGGCTGCATATTATTGTGCTGTCATTTGTAGCGCAATTGTGCTTTCTACATTTTGATGCATATTGATAAAGTTTTAGGGATATTCTTTTTATTCCACTTAATTTCTCTATTAGTTTGAGGTAATTTTATTCAACGTCCTTTCTATCACTGCATACTTACTAGGAAATATCATTCAACCAATTGTAGATTTTATTGTCAAACAAATTAGAGATATTTGCTTGGGAGTAAATACATGTAGATATACTGGTATTCAATGGGAGAAAATAATAAGAGTCAACTTAAGGTGTTTTCCTAGTGACTGCGTAGAAAAACTGAATTGTAAAACCGTTTTTCATTAAAGGGTTATGTAAAGTGACTGCATGTAGTACGAAAATTTAATTTTTTCAGTTGCTTATATTGTGTGCATGGATACAAATATGAAATGTAGTTACACAAATCTTAATACAAGTCTTTAATAGTAATGATTAAAATAGACTACACAGCTGAAGAGCAGAGGTTAAAAAAGAAAGAGAAGATTAACCAAGAAATTCATCTCTGAAGTAGTTGTGACAAGAAAGAAACTTATTAAATCAATTAGTTTTGTGTTTTTATCAAAATGACTGCTCTTAAACTTTTAACTGATTGGTTATTTGTTATGGCAAATAGCCCATAATCGATGACTATGAAGGTCGTTCATGAACTCTTAAATGATTCAGTGAAACAGCAAATATGCTAAAAATTTTAAATGAAATAGTGTTTTTGTCTTTTTCACAGCTGGTTATAATTTTTCATTTATTACTTTTATTTTATTAATATCATCTTTGAAATAGAATATTGTTATAACAATGTTACCCATTCTTCAACCTTTTCCATTTAATACTGAAACCTGTATCTTCAATATACAATCTACGCTTTTGACGTAGTTAATCATGTTTTATAAGTTTATATTGTCATTTATCTTCAACAACACTTTGATATGCACAAAATTTTATATATAGCTTTCAAATGCATTAGCAAGTATTATACTCCATGCCCATGTGAGCCCTTATATGGCTTTTATTTTCATAATTGGTCGTCAACATACATCTAGTAACAAAAATGCTTAAAAAAAGGAAAATATTCATGTTATGGCATGTTTAAATTAAAAAATATAAATTAAAAAAATTATAAATAGAGTTCTTTTATTGCTTTTCAGTTTCTATGTTTAGTAAAAGTTTATATTCATTCTAAAGAATAAAACTAAGTTTTAATCCCGTGTGATAAAAAACTAACCAAGCTATTTAAAACTGAACATTATGTTCAAGTGTTGTCTATTAACCAGAAGAGTAAATTGCTAGCATTTGATATAACTAAAAATTAAATATTAATCTTGAAAATGTTTCAGATGTTCATATATTAAATGATGAGTATTACAGTTAGATTAAGTAATGAGCTGTACAGGCTGTCATGAAAATATTAATATATGTTCTTTTAGAGGTGTTCTAATTCACAGAATGTTATATGACTTGTTCTAAACACATATCCAACTCTCAACTTTATTCCATAAATTAACACTGAAATATATTTCTAGTGATGAATTTTTGATATGATTATTAGATTACAGTTCTAAAGTAATGAAACTATACATGAATATTAATGAAATATTTTCAGTATTTGAAATGAAATTTCAGCATTTTGAGTTGGAGCATACCATATGTAATCAAATTATAAATTAAGGAATATGAGACACTAGTATAAAAGACACTGACTAGGACTAAACAGATATTCACTTTTGTCATATGAGAATAATTTTTTTTTTTCGTGTCTCATTTTTCGTTAGAAGTATAAACTCCAACTTAATATAACTAAAGAGACTGGGCATGTACAAAATGTTTCATTAATATTAAAAAAATGCCAGGTTTAGATTATTTGAATATTACAAAACGTGTAATAGCTACTTGCTTAATAGGAAGGCTGACTTCATGGCTGCCTTAATGGAAACTGGCTCTTAATTCACATTACACATGGGAAAACCCTGAAACCCAACCATGCAGCCTATTCATTCATCTGGAATGAAACTTCTAATATTCAAGGGTCTCAACCACTCAACTAGCTACGTGGGATTTCAAAATGCAAAAACTGAATATTTGTGGAATTTAAGGCATTTTTGTAA